GGCTGCTGCCGCTCGACGTAACGGAACCGCTAAACGCGTGCGGCTGTTACTCGCCGCTATTGAATATCACACGTCACATACGGCACATACGGCACATACGGCACATACGGCACATACGGCACATACGACGGTACTGGCACACACCCTATATCGTATATCTTCTAATAAATCTTATTCTCGTAGTACAAAGTTTTCCGAGTCGTAGGAAATTTATATTGTATTTGGGTGTAATTAATCGCTATTAGTAGCGTAAACGCTACGATAAATACGCTCGTGTGGCAATACTTTTTGTAGCCAGCGTAATACCTACTCGATATTTAGAGCGAATCCATGGCGATAGAAATTATACGAAGCGTTTGAATTTGAGCAGGTCAGATGTTCCTGATGAACCGGTTCTTCGATGGTGCGTTCCTGACGTTCGGTATCGACGTGCTGAGGTTCCTCGAGTCGGATCAGGAGGACCGGATCGATCCGATGATTTACGTGTTCCCTAGAATGACCAAGTGCACCTTCTACAAATACGGCGTAAGCGGAGAGGTGGAGAGGCACGACGCCGTTTGCATACTGCCCTTGAACGTCGTCAACGAGAAGATCTACGTGTTTCTCTGGTTCTGGTTCCTCTTTCTCGGCATGCTGAGCTTCGTCACGATTTTATACAGGGTAAGCGACTCTTTTCCGTTTCATGTACGGTACAGGCTCCTATATCGAGAGTAATAGGAAGGCAAAAATAGTTGGATAACCAAATAATCATCTTGCTCGTATTAAATTTCATTCGTTCGAACGGAGATCAAAGAAATTGTTAGTTTGTTTCAATCAACTGCACAAATTTTCGACGCGAGAAACTAGAAACGTACAGCCCCGTCGTCATTTTCATTTTCTGTTTACGCTCTAACACGTACAACGATAGCAGATATTGTACTCGGATAACAGATTGTTCGGATTATGTGTACGTTAAATTTAGTATAAAAGAAGATAATTTATTTATCGGTCGGAAAAACTGTAACGAAACTTGCAACATTCCACGTATTTTCAATCAATATCATCGAAACGTTCGACAGATTCTCCGACTGAATAAATATCCAGTCAAACGAATACCGGCTGACCGATTCGAAAAGTGGACTAGTCCCGAAAAACTCGTGGTTCCAGCGTCGCGAGTAACGATTCTCCGAACCAATTCCACCTTTTCTTCATACTATTCTATAATAAATAGTCTGCGAAACGATGAGAGAAATGCCTGGTTCCGAAGACGGGGCGCGATCGAGAGTTCGGCAACGGCCCGGCCAAAGTTGCGGAATATGCATGCCGATAGGCTGGTCATCGAGCGCAACGAAGGCCCCTTCTCATCCCATCGACACGCTCGTAGACGTCGCTCACGTGCTCACACGCTACTGTGCGTGCGAATTGCGAGCGCGAATTGCGAGCGCGAATTGCGGGTCGATCTCGGTGGGAAACGGATGAGCGATACCTGGCCCAACCATTAGATAATGGTGGTGGAAATTGCTGCGGATGACCGTCGATTTGTTAAATTGGTAGTAAAATTTCGAAAACAACCGCGTTTGTAACACGCTCGGCTATTATTTTATTTATTTTACAATTTATTTTTACATTCACACAGTACAGTATCACACTGTATTAGATACGAATTCTATCAGGCTTTCAAGCTACGTTACTTGATTACACATACTCGATATATCGATATATCTTACTGCATAAAATTTATATAGCAACGATCTTTTAATATTACGTTTATTCAAAGTTTCCATTTGTTCGGCATTTTTCCAACTTTTATTTTTCTAGCTTTTGCTACCACTTCCGAATACTACTGACTATGTTTCGCAGCGTTTCTACGTTGCTGCTTGAGAAGCTCTCTATTACTTCGGATAGCTGGTTACGTTATCTTGACAAGGAATGTCCGCGCGTAACTGGCGACAGTTAACCTTCGACATTCTCAACTTCTTCTCGTACCTGTTTTAGATCGTAATTATATTTTCGCCAAGAACGAGAGTATACCTTCTACGACTACGGTTTCGTTTGGTCAGGAGAGAAGCCGTGGAAACGATAGTTCGGCGGAGCAAAGTCGGTGATTGGTTTCTTCTCTATATGCTCGGCGAGAATTTGGACACGGTGATATACCGGGATGTGATGCACGAGCTGGCGAATAAACTCGCCTCGAGACATCATCACAGTGTGCCCGGAATCAAAGGGGAACTACAGGAGGCCTGATCCAAGTGAGTTTATACGATAGTATCTTTTGTCGTGCCGTTAAAATCGTTTCCTCGGCAATTTGATTTCCTTCAAATTTTCCGTTTATATTATCCCAGGATAATACGTTGTCCTTTTATTGCATCTGAAAACGAAAGGTTTACGTTCGTAGATGCTAGTTACGTCTCGGACGGTTTCGGCAAATTCTATTCGAAATAAAATAGCAATAACGAACAACAGAAAATAATCGTTTGAGATAATATTATTATATTATAATAATATTAGATATATTAGATTATAATAATAGATACATCATTGTAGCTTATTAGAAATACTTGATTACGATTTTAGAAATAACGCGGAAGAAACGCCGAGTTTTATTTCGTGTCGAGTCATTTCGACGTCGTTTTCACTTGAAATAATTACACACGAATAGAATTTATCTCAACGAAACATCATTTTATTCGTGTATTATTATATTATATTTTGTTATATTTTACAACAACTACGAAATTTTGCATCACGGTACTCGGAAAAGAATGTGTCAATCATTCGGCGTGAAAACCCATTCTTAAGGTTGATTATAGCGTAGTAGCAAGTACGGGAAAGTAATAGGCAGGATAAATAGAAATAGTCAAAATGACGGTTATGTAAAACGAATGATATTTACGACACGATCGTTATTAATGCGTTTGCGAAAGGAATTTATTTAGGTTACTAACGTTTCGGTTTACTAAGAAACTAGGTTAACGCAAAATCACTTACGCTTTGCTCGAGGTGTGTAGCCACTGGACCAAGTTGTACGCTTATGCTACAGATCCCGGGTTATTGTCTTCTTATTATAGTTGCATGTTTCGTATAGGCCTGAGACTTGTTCGAACTTGTGTGCAACTCGTAACAGGAGGCTCGAAGATTCACCACCCGATCGACAAGTTAATCGCAAGTTGATCAATCTCGTTACTCCTAAACTGACTCCTAGGATCGTTCCCTTTGTCGAAACCTTGCACACTTAGCTGGCAATATCGTTGCAGCGCATGGACGACGGGTGCGCTCACTGCACCTTCACGCTAAGAAAAAGATATGTGAAAACCAAGCGATTATCAGAATTACATACGATACGTTTGTTAGCGTGCAAAGACTGGCATCAAAATTTTAGTTTCGCTAAAATCATGCTTGCTTGTTGATTCAACGCGTATATAGTCGTTTGAATGTTCGATTCTTACGTTTTTTAGAACATCGCGAAAAACATCGAATCTTCAGTTTTCGATTCGCCATCGTGCATCGTGCGTATTTCGATTAGTACTCGCAAAGTTGATAGTATTAGTCATATAGTCAGTATTCTGACATGTTTAGACATGAAAGGATCTATAAACCGTAAATATTAATTCCCTATTGGTTTAACGAACATCGATTTAGCCGGGCAGAAACTCGTTAAAATTTGGTTTAGTTCGGCAACCGACGAATGATTATCAGCTTGAATTAAATAATAATCGAATTAAATAATTAAATAATAATAATAATAAATTCGCCGCTGCTTGCGACCGTGTTCCAGATGCACGCGTATAGGCAGCATTCGATGTCGACAACGACAGTAACGACAACTTTTTCAGTTTTCTTCGGTTTTTCACGAATATCCATCGGAACTAGGCCCGAGCGATGGTTACGTACGTGAGAGAAAGTTGTTCAGAATCGTGACAACGTCGCGATAACGAGGCAAAACTTGTAAATAATCGAAATAAACGAAATATCGAAAGTGGAAACGCGTATCCGTTCGTGGCCTTTGCGTACACACGCGAACGTTCATAGAAATTGCACGAATCGCTGTTCTTGCAAACTTGAACTGCGTACAGGGATGTGCGGATACCTGAAATCAGGGGATTGCCGTGCTTCGAGTATTCAAGTATACAGCATCGGCGTACACATATTCGCCTATGTACCATCCAAGTATACGTATCAGGATCCCGAAACTATGTATTCAGTCACGGTCATGTAGAAGCGGATCGATAATATATAATATTACCTTATTACAACCTTAAGGAATTAATAGAAATAATATACTTGTATCGAAAGACGGACGAAATAGTAACGCGTGACTCGTGACATCAACCACATTTCAATCTGTACCAGAGATAAGACATCGACCCCCGATCTTCGATCCTCTCAACATCCCCAAACCAAAACGCATATAAGCTCGAGGTCTCAAGTTTACGTGACAAACTCGTAGATAGATAGGCATTTCTTGCCCTACGAGATAGATGTATCGTGGTTAATGTTAACGTTTGACAAAAAGAAAGCGATAACGTGTCGCATTTACCTGTATTTCCTTTTATTTCCACTGATTATTACATCTTTTTACGTTGCCTTTCACGCTTCGAACAAGACGCTTGGAACAAAACGCTTGAAAGAATTCGATGATACGGATTGATGGAAAAAACTTGTGAATAATATAATAGTGCGATAACGATTAACGCGATATCGATCTTCGATGGATTAAACTTTCCATAAACTCGTAAACATCCGTGGTATAGCGATAAATGCTATTAACTCGCCATATATAAATTCTGTCCTAGTTGCTCGATGGTTTTACATAAAGCCTTTGAATATGTGACGTCATACGGCCACTTGTAGCTGATACTGTCAATACGAACCTGCTGGCATAAATTAGGGACCAGAGGGCATAAATTTGTCGGCAACAAGCTTTAGACATTAACACACGTCCTCCTATTTTCGGCCGTTTAACAGCCACGCACGCGAGAGGGCTGCGTTCTGTTGAGTTTTAGTTCGAAATAACAGCATCATCTTGAAAGCAACGCGTGTGAAACATCAAGTGTAAAAGGAAAGAATACAGATGGTATATTTGTCCATCGACGCAGCAGGCCAATCGATATTGCAGCCTTCTTGCTTTGCGTGTACATAGTATAGACGTTATATACTGCCGTTCAAAACTTATCCTGACTTTTGTATGAAAGATTTCTCACACGCGCGCACACACAAGCTGTTTTTCCTGCTCTCGAATCCATCTATCGATAGGCTATTTTCGAAAACTAACCGAGAACCTTATGACATAGGATACGCGTGAAGAATGGACAAAGAAGAGATACATACCGTTGCGCCGGTCGGAGGCCGACAACAATTTCACCGTGTAAATGGATCTGGCAGGCTTTTTAAAGAGTACACAGGTGGTCGGTCAATCCGATGACTTGGTAGGTGACTCCGTTTCGTTAGTTTGACGAGGGAACTTGATCGTTAGTTGATAGGGATAGTAGATAGATAGAAGGTCATATTCGTTCATTCGGCGATGCAGTTGGCGGTTGCCTCGGCCATCGCCTGAACGTTCCTAAGCCGTATATCCGGCCATCACCTGAACGTTCCTAAGCCGTATATCCGGCCACAACGATACGTATTGGGAATCGCGACGACACAACCAACAACGCGTATCTTTCTGTATCGCATTTTTTCCCTATCTGCTGTAGGAACCGGGCTATAGTCTGTCCCACTGCTATTTACTAGACTCGTGCCGCATTTTCTTATTATTATCCTTTATGTATATTTTACAATTGTATCGTTCTTGCAGGTTGCCTCGGAGAGCCACGGAAACCAGCGCGATTCTCATGGCAACGAGAAGCTACTTTTCACCGGAAAAGTGCCACCTACTTCTGTTTTCCAGAGATTCACGGACGAGCGATCGAATCAAACGGATCGCTTTATATTCGTTATTCGAATCGTATGTTTTTCCTTCCTTGTACCTTAGCACCGGTTCGAGGATCGTTGGCGAATTATTTTTATGAACGTTGTTCCAACGAGAGCAATCTCTCGATCGATCGTGTTCGCGTAAAAGACAAATTGCCAACAACGTGCCTTACGACGACTTTCCATCGATTTTCAAAGCATTTGCACTACACGTCGTCCGAATTTGATTAATTTAAGAAGTGAAAGCACGATGCAAGAAAATCGTATAACAAATATACGTATATAAATATTTGACAAAATAAAAAAATATATATGGATTTGACGGATAGATTGCCAACAATTTCAAATTGAAGGTGGACCATTTTCTAATTGGCGAATTAATGAAAACTGATGGATTAATTTCTTCTAAAAGGATAAGAGCGTAAGAGAAACGCGAAAATGGTTTTTTCTATCAGTGAAATTCAAAGTATTATGAAAATGAAAATGAAAATACAGGTATGTATTTATTTGCGTCGCCTAAAGTGTTCTACCTCGTACAGTCGCGTTGAAAGGCTGTAATTCTGCCATTTTTTCGTAAAATATACGTTATTAGGCTCTTGCAAATGAAATGGCCAAAATGTTTATTGAATGAATGAATTTTATTGAAAGCAATATTTATCGATCGAAACGTTTGAACTCGATACGTTTTCACTATTTCGGAACAAGATCAAGATTCAAGTATGTCGTTGCGACATAATGGGACAATATCGGGCAGTCTCTGTATAACACAAAGATTAATCTATTTATATTTATATATACTTGAAGTAAACTATTACAATATTAAATCTTTTGTCGTTTGCTAAAAGTATAGAAATACATAAAACCTTTTCCCTTTTTTAACCTCTTAACGTTCGCAATTGGTCCCGTTACAACAAGAAGATTTTTTAAAATTCTTTTTTCCTCGCATGTCAAATATGTTTTGTTTATCTACGTTCTAATGTTGTATTTCTGGGTTTTACCTGATCAATTCGATGGTAGGATCAAAGCCGCGATCCAAATGATTTTCCTTCGTCCATCGATATATACGATACAACTGTTACTTTTAAAACTACTTGCAATTCGTTTTAGCACTCGTATTATCGATATTTACACAATCGGTCACGCGAAAACCTACATACATCGACATCGAAGAGACTGAAAACGCTTTATCAGAAAATTATTTATTACACTTGCAAATAACTGAACTTGCAGCGTTCAAAAATATTCCTAACGGAAGTAAGCAAATAAGGAATCGTTATAGAATATGTGTCTGACGAATCAATCGCGACGTTAGCAATATCAAGATATATTTAACCGTTTGACGATTTATTTCTTCTAGACATTAAAGTAAGGTAAATTTTAGAACAAGTTTACTCGCAAAGAATAGCCATTTGATATGATACATTCAATTTCTATACATTAACCACACGAAATCAGACGTAAAAGACTATACATCTGTATATCTTATGTTGTAGTATTCGTTACTAAATTAATATTATTACGTTATGGAACGAAATATTCGCAGAAATGTTGTAATGGCTATTGAAAGAATGCATGCCATTTTACGCAAAAATATATTTGAAATGTATAAAAAAAAATATATATATATATAACTAATATATGTATATAATATATATAATTAAAGGGTTTAATTAAAGTTAAATTGCCAGAAGGACTTACACCTATTTATATTGTTCCGTTTATTTTATTATTTTATAGAATGCTTCGTTCGTTACGTTATCGAATTACTTGCTTATTACATTCCTCTCATAATCCATGAGGATTGTTTTTCAATCTTGTTCGATACGTATTCGCAGAAAGGGATTTAGTTGCGATGACTTTTGAATATATTATCGAGATTATCAAGCCGAGTAATATTGCAAACAGTTTGCTATTAGGAAGTTGTTATTGTATTTAACGATGTTTCGACAAAAGTACACAATTTTCCGCACGTTATTTTTACATTTGACAGAGTGCGAATAACCAAGAACTTCTTTTCTTTCTCTTTCCTTTCTGAGGTAACCCAAGTAATTTCGACCTAACCCTAAACTCGTTTCTGATTAACTACAAATCAGATTTTAACATTTATTAAAAAGTCATTATCGACATAATTTTATTATAAACTTTTTTCGTTGAATCTTCTTTTTTTTCTTGAATATATTTACCTTTCCTTTTGCCGAATAATTATATCGTGTATTTCATTTATTTTGATAATATTAACAGTTTTCGTACATTCGTATAGTTTCTATGAAACTATAATGAAAATATAGTGAAAATTAGCTCTGTACACGCGTAGCACGAATCGGAATCACTGTGTTTTTCACGTACGCTACTGTCTGGGATAAAACTTTTCTATTTAAGAAAAGGACTAAGTACACGCGCGACAACATTCTGTCCGTTTAATCTGGTATTACGTTATTTACTAAATTTAGTTCTCCTTTAATGCATACCTAATTCCTTCGTTTCTTTATTTGTTATTTATCTTAACGACTTAGTGGATTGGTTCGCCAATGTAATGGAAGATATAATATAGTTGATAGATATCCTAACGTACTGGACCTTCGTAACGATATTTTTCTAGTTCTAATCTTTTCCTATGTATTACTCTTCTTCTGGTCACAAATGTCTTGTAGAAAGTACAGCGGAGCCTCGTATATCCGAATTAATAGGACAACGAAAAAAGTTCGATTTCATTTATCGAAGTAGAGATTGTCGGTTTATTCGAATTTTTAAGGATCACGTATCTTTCGTCTGTTAAATATTGAAATAAGTAACCGCGTATCGAATAATGAAACGATCATTTTCTCGATATTAAATTCCTATCGAAATTTCCTCCAATGGAGATCAAGGAAATTGTTACTTTGTTTCAATAAGGATGCCATCTTTTTGGGCTGCTTAATCATGCAAATTTCTTGATGTAAATAACTCTGCAGATTACTTTTATGCCCCAAATCTTCGGTATCTTTCTGCAGATGTTACCGCATACTAGGCAAATATTACAGCTCGCGGTGTAACAGAACGCATTCCTCGGCGTTCTTTCGTTTCTTGTTCCTTTCTTTTCTTTTTTGTTTTCTTTTTCTTTTTTCTTTCTTTCTTTTTTCTATTTTTTTTCTATTTTTTTTTTTTTTTTTTTTTTTTTGTT